TACTTGGACAGGCTTTGATTTTTTAACCCAGTCTATAAAGCTTTCCTTGCTCAACCTACACCCAAAACCCCATAAGGTACACTATTTAAACAAGTTACACTGAACTATAACTTACATAGCTGTAAAAACAAATCACTTTTCTACTCTTAAAAAATTGTCCAAATTCCAGTTACATTAGTTTATAGCAGAAAATACACTTTTCCTTTAAATCAGAAAGGAAAAAGTTTAAAAGAAAGCGATAATTAATTGATAAGAGTCAAACAAACTTAAAGTCTTAAAAATAAAAACAGAACATTCAAAGCTAGGAGTAATCATGCTATATAATTTTTGTATCTTTACTTTCCATTCATCTTTTAGATAAATTATACTACACATCTTACATAGTTAACAGTCTTAAATGTTTTTCTAAGGAGTTTTGTCTATGGCAGATTCTCAACATTTGGCAAAGTCTGGAGACATTTCTGGTTAATACAACTGGCAGGGAGAGGATAGGGAGGTGAGGGGGAAGGACTGACAGTGCTACTGACATCTAGTGCTCTAAATCTGCTAAACATCCTACAAAGCACAGGAGAACCACCCACAACAAAGAATTCATTACTTGCCCTACATGGCAATAGTGCCAAAGTTGAGAAACCATGGTCTACAGAAATCAAGAGACTTTCTTTTAAAGTTGGGCAACTAGTTCTATATAGACTAATCTAGATCAAGTTAGATCAAATATATAAAATTTAAAATGACAACAGATAAACAATATATTTTCCATTTAACAGACCCATTTAAATGCTTAAGGAAAACTTTATACAACAGTTTTCATGAAACTAATTTGTTAATGCCATAGATTTAAATATTCCCTCTGACACATATCTAGAGGTAACTAATTCAAAAAGATATATGCACCCCAATGTTTATAGCAGCACTATTTACAATAGCCAAGTCATGGAAGCAACCTAAATGTTCATCAATAGATGACTGGATAAAGAATTTCTGGTGTGTGTATGTACAGTCACACTCACTCACACACATACACACACACACACACGGAATCCTACTCAGCCAAAAAAAAGTAAAATAATGCCATTTGTAGTAACATAGATTGACCTACAGATTACCATTCTAAATGAAGCAATAAGTCAGATAGAGAAAGACAAATACCATATGATACCACTTGTATGTGGAATGTAAGAAAATGACACAAACATATGAAACAGAAACAGACAGACAAAAAACAAATTTATGGTTATGGGGGATAAGGGGGAAAGATAAATTGGCAGTTACTATATATAAAATAAACAAGGTTCTACTGTATAGCACAGGGAACTATATTTAATATCTTCTAATAACTTATAATAAAAAAGAATATGAAAAAAATATATATAACTGAATCACTATGTTGTATACCAGAAACTAACACAACATTACAAATCGACTACTCTTCAATGAAAAAATTAAATAAACAAGTAAATAAATATTCCCTATGAAACTCCCAGAAAATGTTAGCAAATTGCAACTATAATATGAAAAAAACTATAGGTACTACATAGCAAAAGAACAAGCAAGAGTATGTGCATTGATTTAAGGGCATTTTACTTCACTGAGCTTCAAATTTTAAAATACTTTGCATATTGAAATGCAAGCAAACCTTTAAGTTAATTACAGGTAACACTATTTCATTGTTTAAATTAATAAATAAATTACATTGTGTTTAAATCCTTTAGTCAGTAATACAAACCAGGTTCAATTATTTTTAAATGATTAAAAGTATGCCTGTCGTTGGCAAGTCAAGACAGGATGGTACAATTAAAACACAATCAGACTTAGATCTAAATCCCAAAGCTGTATGTTTGCAGACAAATAATTAAACTTCTCTGAGTCTCAATTTTCTCGTCTAAGAAATAAATCTAATTCAAAGATCTGTTCTTGAGAATTAGCAATAAATGTATATAAACAAATGGTACTGAGAGCTACTCTACAAATGGTGGTTAGTTATTAATCCCAATAATTAATAGTAAGTATTAATACAATCTGTGAATACATATTAGTTTTATTCTATCCTTATAAGCAAAAATTCACATACGTAATTCAACTCATAAGATAACTATAAATAAAATGTACCTTATATCAATTTTCCATTCCTAGCAACTATGAAACATTACTTAAAATTCACAGATTTAAATAAATTAATATCTGACAGATAAAGGACAGATTTCCAAACACAGTTTCAGGGAAAAAAGACCTACAAGGTTTATTTATTTTGAGTAAATAACATATACTCATGACTCAAAACTCAATAAGGGATCTTTTGATGCCTGTTGACCTAAACACACAATTCCTCCAGCACAGGAGCAATCAATGTTACCAATTTCTCATTAATCCTTTCACCTATACAGACAAATATATACGTATTTTCCCACTTTTGACACAACCGGTGGCCTCCTCCCACTATTTTGCACCACAATTTTCACATTTATCTTGAAGGCTGTATCTTAATTAACAACACACTCCAAAAACAGCCTCTTAAAACTTCTTACGGCCAGAATTCTGCAAATGTCAACTCTTTACAAAGGCACTTAAAAGGAGAAAAAAATATCCTTAAAAAAAGACTGTATTCTTACTAAACACAAGCATATGAAATAAATTTCGGTAAAATGGAGATTTACACAAGTGACATGATGAAATATTTGATTACTTGACCAGCCACTCAAATACTGTATTTACATACTTAAAAAGAAAACACATGGACTGTACCACAAGTCCTTCAATGAGTTGAAAATAACATAATCCACTTACAGAACTAGGCCTACTAAAATATCAAAATAAAACTGGTGAAAATAAAGCTATTTACTGGTTATATGCCAATATTAAATTATCTGACCCATTCCTAAATGTTCTTTGCAACTGACTTTCTGGAAGAAGTTTCCTTCCAGATTTATAAAGGTACTGCTCTTAAAAAAAAAAATTTGTATTTCCTGTTTCTCTCCTCTGAAACACTATGACACTTACTTGAAGTAAGGCTTCATTATTCCTTACAAATAAAAAGCTGTATTATTTTAACAATATGCATTACTAAAGCAATACAAGATTTCTTTTCAGCTTCACTTTAAGTACTAACAATATCATGGTGAAAAGTCACCTCACATAATGCAAAAAGACCACATGAACTATGAAAGCAGTAACTTACCACTTTTAAGTAATAGAAAATAGAGCATTGAAGTCTTATTAAGTTTTAGGCTTGCACATTAGGCTACTGGCAACAATATTAGCTTCAATCTTTCATCAGGAATATGTATATCAATTATACTGGAACGTATTTTCTTACTAAATAAAGATTCAGAATCACTGTTTCACTGTAAACCAGTACCAGCATTTATGACTCTCTGCACTGTATCATAAAAATACTAAGTCATCCCTCCATTCAGAGTTTTGGCACTTGAACAAATACAGAGGTCAGAGTTCATACACATGCTCTGTAAAACCGATCCTTACATACTATTACATACAAAAAATCTGCTAGTATTTGGCATGTTAAAATAATTTTAAAGAATTTCCTCCATGTCTAATTAGATACATACATAATCACTTTAGACTTAGCCGCACAAATTAAAGTTCAAGTGCTATCAGACTTATGTCAATAACTCATCACAAACTTAGAATGCTGAATTTCACAAATCATTGAGATCATCAGAGTACCAATGTAAGACAAAAATACAAACAGCAATGATACATTCAATAATGGCATATGACATCTTGAAAAATCACTATTTCAGTATTACTTTTTAATCTTTCCTTTGTTAAATCCAAGGAGGAAAAACAACCTGGCATTCTTGTTGATTGGGGTAAGAAAAATTGTAGGTACTTTCATAATTTTGAGTCAAATTACAAAAACATTTAAAATATCTTAATAACTACGGCCAACACTAGAGTAATTTAAAATTTCTATAGGACTCAAGAGCAGCTTGAGACAAAAAATTTTTTAATCATTTCAGATATGATATGTTGAAATAAATCTACTCAATAAGAAGATATAACAATGTATTATTTGAAATCCCATGTTTTTTAATAGGTCAGTTTTTCAAAAGTAAGAATCAGGTTAACTATGAGGGACATCATAATGAAGTTTCATGGCACAACACAACAGTGTCACAGAGGCATTGTCTTAGGACAGACTCTGTGATCTGTAACCTGTAAACAACATTTTGAAATAAGCTACTTATAAATTCCATGCTTTTTCCTAATCCTAGCTAAAAATATTTAAATGTCCTTAATACACCAAACAACTTGCCTTTAACCCAGTCAAAAGCTTTAGTTGTCAATAGAAAAGGGGCCTAGGATTTGGGGGTAAGTGGAAATGAGATAATGGTTTACTATGGTATTAATTTCCTTCCCAGGTGAAAATTCCCTTATCCCCACTCAAATAAGATAGTACCCCATTATGTCTTCTCTTCTCTCTCAACACACAACTAAGAGGGAGTAACTCTGAACGTCCTTCTTTCATCAATATCTAAGGACTCTCATCGCTCCATTCCTAAGGAAAGGACAGTGGCGGCCACACAGGCAATAACCCAGAATACCCTTAAAAGTGAGGGCCTTTCAGCAGCGCGGCTCTCCGGATCCAGTTACCACCTTTCCCCTTCCCCCAACCCACTTCCCGGGTTTTCTTAGGCTCGGCCTGCTCCCTCCCCACCCTACAGCTACACTTCCAGCTGTTGCCACTGCCTCGGGGCTCTCTCTAGAGCTCACACCCCGCCGGTAAGTGCCCCCTTCTCCATCTGCCCCCAAACCGTGTTCCTCTCCAGACCACCCGCCCGCGAGACCGTCCATCCCAGGGCCCCGGGAGGGGAGGGGAAGGCGGCGGAAGGAGGGGGAGACTGCTGCTTCCCCACAGGCAGAAGGGCGGCCGCAAAGAGGGCCACCTGGGGGTTACCAGGGATATTGGGGTCGCCACTGGAAGGGCCCTCCCGCCATGGGCTGAGGTGGGGGACGTCCGGGAGTTCATTTCTGACCTCCTCGCTCTTCAGCACCTCCTTGAACTCCCGCTTGATTCGCTGCACCGCGATGTTGGCCATGTCTCCGCCCGCAGCTGATTCGTACCCGCCTCCTCCGCCACCGCTACGACCACCGCCGCCGCCGCCACCTCTTCCTCCACCACCTCCTCCCTCGGCGATTCACACCCGAGCACACGAACGCTGCCACTGCCAGCCCGGCCGCTGCGCTCTCTTCACTGTGGAATCACCTCCGCGCCCGGCCACC